TAAATATAAACATTAAAATAAAATGTATATATTTACATCACTTCAAATATAATATATTTCGTCAAATAATTTTAAAATCAGTAAAAAAAAATTTTTTGTTTTTTTTTTGGTCAAAAAACGTAATTAAAAGTTTTACATTTTTAATTATGAATTTATATCTAAAAAATTTTCAATTAATCTCAGAATTCTACGGTTTGGTCGTTAAAATTCGTTTTTTTTTTTTTTTTTTTTTTTGGGGAATCAATTTCTAAAAATTTTTTTTACACCTTATTAATTTTAATATTAATAACCATTTACACGGTTATTTTATTCGTTAAAGCGATTTAATAAATTGCTATGAAATTAAATATTATTAATTCCAACTTTTTAATTAAAATATTTTTCCTGGATCTTCCCTATAGGATAGGATCTATTAATTTCATGTTTTCTTTGAACCTTTTTTTTACCTTTCGATATCCGAAAAAAAAAAAAAAAAAGTTTTATAAACAAATTTTTTTTTTTTTTGTCTACCTAAACCAGTCCTTCCTAAAGGATGCTGTATGTTGTTGCCGGGAGATGCAAACGCGGCTGCTCTTATCCATCGATCCAACATTTTATTCTCCTCGGCCTGGGTTCTCCCAGTGGTTCCCGGGTAACATATCCGTGTTAACTTTCCAAAAAAAATTTTTGTCATTCCTATTATTATTAAGGTAAAACTTTTTCTTTTTCTTTTTTTTTTAATTTGTTCCTTTCCAAAAAAATTTAAAAAAAAAATTTATCAAAAATTAATTTTAATTAAATTGTTTTAGATTTAATTTTTTTTGATTATTGTTCGACGTTCAAATTTTTAATTATTATAATCGAGACTATATTTAAAGCAAAAGAAATTTCGTACTTTATAAAAGTAAGAACAAAAATTTTTTTTTTTTGTCGCGTTTAAAAAACTTTTTTTTTTTTAAAAAATAAATTATAATTTGTTTATAATTTTCAAGAAGGTTTAAAAAACTTTTTATTATTAGTAATTCGTCGGGTTTTAGCTTAATTGTCTTTATAAAAAAAAAAACAAATATATAAGGTTTCAATTAAAATTTAAAAAATCTGTTTAGATTATTATTTTCAATTGAATAAATTTTTTTTTTTTGGATATGACAAGTGGTATAGTAATAAGGTATAACAAGGTATAACATATGTTCGTTTTTTAATTTTTTCATATATTATTTTTTTTAAATTATTGTAAAAACTTGATTTATTGAAAACTAATTAATTTGATTTTGATATAAAATTTTTTTGTTAAGGGTTCATTTTAATAGTTTTAGGGTCAATGTCGGGTTTTTTTTTCTTTTTACAATCAATTCAATATTTACTTAATTCTCCCCAATTCTCATTCAAATTTTCATTTATAATAATGAATATAATATAAAAGTTAATAAAAATAAGTATGAGATCTCGTTAGGCTTGCATATTATTACATTATTAAATTTTTTTGCCCAATTTTTTTTTTTGAATGAGGTAATTTTTTTTTTTTAACTTTTTTTTTTCCCCCCCTTGTAAAAATTTTCTTACTTTAATTTATTTAAATTTATATACGATAACTTCACAACCTTGGAAATTTAATACAAATTTTAATTTCCCTAGAGTTTTTTAATCACATAACAAAAATTATAAGTTTTTATTTTTACTTAAAAGCATTATATACAAAATCAAAAATTCTTTATGTGTTTTTTCTCGAAAATAGACGAAATATTCAAAATTTTCTTTTTCTTTTTGTTGAAAAAACAGGAAAACGGAAAAACAATTCAAAATACTACGGACGATTGACGGTGACTTTGAATCGTGATAAACATGTTTCCTAGATTAAATCCCTGTCATTTGTATATATTGTTTTTATATTATTTATTACAGTATTATTGATTTTAATATATAGTAAATAAATAATAATAATATAATATTTTAATATTATTTCAAAGATGTCAAAAAAATTCTCTCGATTGTAATTTATTTAAATGGAAAAAAAAAAAATTTTCTTTTTATGGTATTTTTTTTTTTATTATATATTTTAATTTTATTAAAATTTTGTTTTTTTTTTTTTATTATGTTTAGATGCGGACAGTGACGAAGACATAATTACCGATTATTTGTCAGAAAGTGACAGGACAGGACCCCCAATAACAAGTGGTATAGGGGGTCCTGGTCCTTTGGTTCCAATCATTTCGGTTACGCCTCATTCACCTGGAAGTAAACACTATTTAATTTTAGGTACAATAATTTATCGAAAAAGAAGTTTACTTTTTTTTATAAAAATCGATATAAAGTAATTTTTAATTCTTTTTTTTGCAGATGAAAATCTTCAACATCTTCACAAGATTCACGATACCATTCAGCAAATGCGTCATGTATCTGGATACAACAGCAATAACAGTGGTTTAACCCTCAGGTTAAATCAATCAAATCGTTTAAGTTGTTCTTGCCCGTCATTAAACGATGCTGGATCTGATCCTGAATTATTTACAAATTCAAATTCAACTCCTACCCATGGAACGGGAAAAGGTACCGTAATATCCAATGAGGGGTTTTTTTTTGCTTCGGAATTATATTGACGATGTTTTTTTTTTTTTTTTTTTTTTTCTGATTCAATAAGGACGTGAGTTTTTGAAAAAAGAATGTATCGTTTCAGGTTCTTCAAAGTTGTGGTTGGCATCTAAAAATATTTTAGATGCTGATTTTAATCGCAGAAGAAGTTGGACTGCATTAGAAGACTTAAGTAGCGGTAGAGGAATAAAGCCATGTCGGCAAAGAAGTATGAGTCTGAGTAGCCTTGATTCAGAGCAAGACGATCCTTTTTCCGATCATCAAGATGGTGGAAGTACGAGTTTGTTGGTGGCAGCGGGAAAATCAGTCACAATCAATACGAGAAGAACGAATAGAAACAATGGTGGAGCATCTACTCATTCTTTGAACGAAGCTGATTTACAGGTATCCGTAAATTAATCGTCCATTATTATTAAAAAAAAACCCAAAGTATATTTCATTCATTTTTTTTCTCTTCATTTTAGAACGATTTTAATGTTGTGATTGCTAAAAGAGAGGCTGAAAATATGAGATTGTTGTCAGCACGACTTCCGCTACAAAAATCAATTTCAACGCCTTCAATTATAGCAGTTCGAGATATAGTTCCTGAAGTCGTTTCAGAAGAAAGTACCGTTACACTACCCGTGTAAGTTTCCATATATTTTCACTATTAGTATTTTGCAGATTTATTTATATTATTTATTTACACGTCACTGGCCCATTTTAAAAAATAAAAAAACACCAAATTTAAAGTAATAATTAATTAATTAATTTTTTTTTTTTTATAAATATTTTGTTAAACGGTTTGGCTTGCATGTATATTTATTATTATTATTATTATTTTTTTTTTATATACATTAAACGTTATTTTTTATTTTAAAAAAAAAAAAAAATGGGTTGTTGAAAGCTTATGTAGTTTTTGCTTATTTATTTTACTACTTATTGCTTTCGATTTCAATTTATTTTATTTATTTATTTATTTATTTTATTAAATAAAATTAAATCTCTGTAAAGCGGAGATTTTATAATAAATGAATTATTATTGAAAAAAAAAACCGTACGAAATTAAACAAATTTTTTTTACTTTGTTTTTTTTTTATTTTTATTTTTTTTAAAAATAATTTTATTGAAATTTTTTGTTTTAACCTTTGTATTGCTTTGCTTGTGCTTTTTTGTGTGTTTTTTTTTTTTTTTTTTTTTTTTTTTGGGATTTACTTTTTTATTTGCTTTTGAAATTATGAATTATGAACACGGGACACAACAGGGGCCAACTTCGTCCAAGTGGTACAGAAAGTGAAACTGAAGAAGAAGTTATGTCATCATTGTTGGATCCTTCTCAGCATCCTTTTGTTGTCGATATGCCACCGAGTAGTCAAATACACCTTCATCAATTATTCGAAGAGTGAGTAGGCATGTGAATTAATTGATGAATAGGAGGAGGCCGTATTTGAACGAAACGGCAGCATTTTTTTATTAATTGTTTGCTAATTACCAATCAATCACCGATCTCAGTTTTTTTTTTTTTTGTATCACGCTTTTTTAAATCACAAATTTTTTAATGTAGAAAATGAATATCCGAATGAAATGTACTAAATAAAATTTAGTGAATATTTTTACAAAAAAAAAAAAAAATTCTGCGGTTTACGAAATCAAATAATTAAATGCCACTTAATTTTTAATTTGGGAAAATTTAAATGATAATATATATATGAATTACAACAGACTTTCCAAATTCATTAAAAATTTTTTTTATTGTTAATAAGTAACCTTTTTAATGATTTCAGATCTTACACGGCACATTCGGAAAAAAGAAGGAAAAGAGGAAGTTTGTTTTTTCGAAAGAAAAAGGTGAGATTTTTGATCGAGAATCAAATTTAAATTGCGGTTTTTAATAAATATGAAGGTAGAAATTGTGGCCAAAATGTACCGTATTGTTCTTTCGAATAAAAAAAAAATATTTTTGCGAAGAACTAAAAAGTTTTTGGCCGAAAATAAAAAAAAAAAAAAAAAATATTTTGCGAGTTTGCCGAGAGTGTATCATTAAGATTTTGTACTTTCTGCGATTAACTCGTACATTTTTTTTCGGTTCGTAAAATAAAGCTTAATGTCAAAACTTAATTATAACATGGGGGTTTTTTTTTTTTTTTGGTAGGATAAGGTAAAGAAGGTTGTTCATCAATGGGTTTCAGTTTCATATGGATTTTCTTACAACTGCGACTCTTGCTCAAAACCGCTTACCAATAAGCCAGCACTTTATTGTGATAGTAAGTAAAATTAACACAAAGTTGTATATTTTCATCATTATCGATTTTAAATATAACCAAAAAACTTTCTTTTTTTCAGATTGCACCAAAAGAGTTCATGCGAATTCTTGCAAAGATCAACTTTTAGAATGTGTCAAACCTAAAACGAGTAAAGGTGGTTCTAAGGGACCGCAATCCCTTTCAAAACGGGGATCCACTTCTCAGCAATCAAATAGCAGTAATAGGTGAGTTAAATGAAAACCTTTTTAAAAAAAATTTCACATTTTTTTTATTTTTAAATTTAAAAAAAAATGAATAATACCGTCCGGATATTTTACATACCGGCATGCCTATTTATTTATTTATTAATTTTAAAAAGAGCCCATCGAGTTAATCGAGTCTACGGGGGAGGGGGAGGGAGGGGAAATTCAAATAATTTTTTTTTTTAATTTAAATTAAATTGCAGCACGTTTTAATATAATCATGCTTGCTTATCATTTTCGTATATAATAAGCAAAATTTGTTCGAGAGCAAAATGTTTGCGTTATTAAATATTATTATTATTATTATTAGTGTTTTGGCAAAATTTGCTAGAAAATGTGCACAAGAATATTCGCTTATTTTTTTTTTTTTTTTCTGCATTAATTATTATAATAATAATAATGAATGATGATGATGATGATGATGATGATGATGATGGTTAGAATCAGGGGTTTTCAAATTTAAAATAAAGTAGTGAGTATTTAAAAAAAAATTATTTTTAAGCCTTTTAAAAATAATTTTTTATTTTAAATGATCATAATTAATAATAATAATAATGATAATGAATTTAAAAGTTATTGCTTTTTTTTTTTTTTTAAATTTTTTCAACTGCTTTTTTTTTTTTTTTTTTTTTTGAAAACTTCTGATTTGTTTTTTTTTTTTCAAATTCTTGTGCAGCATGTTTTTATTTTAGCGATTTTTTTTTTCTTTTTTTTTTCTTTTTTTTAAATTAAGTTTTTTTTTTTTTATCAATTTTTGAAAAATCATAGTTATTTTATTTCCGCTTATTATTTAAAGCTTGCCCTTAGTGAGCATATATTATACACTTAAAATTTTAAGGCCGATTTAGAAAGTATGTTCGCAAAAAATTTGCCTATATTACCTTCCAAAATTTTTGCCATTTATTAAAAGCAGGCATTTAACGGTGATTTGAAAAGAAATTTTTCAAATCAATTTTTAATTCCAAATTTGACCTGTAAAAAAAAAAAAAATAACAATAACAAGTAAATTTAATGTAAATATGTAAAAAAAAAAAAAAAAAAAAAAAAAAGAAAATGTGAAACCGCAAAACCTGCTAACAAAAAAAAATGTTCCTCTCCTGTGCCATCTCAGGAAGACGACGTTTTGTTATTCTCCGTGGAAAAGAGTCGCCACCAAACTTGGAGTAAAGTAAGTTTCCTCCATCTATCAATCAACCGCAATATATATATGAGTCTGTAATAATATATATATATATATACTTATAAATATTCATTCATTCATTCATTCATTCATAAAACGTTCAAATGCATTACATACTTATTTTAATTCGTAGTATTGTAATAAATTGCTCTCTCTCTCTCTCTCTCTCACTCTCTCTCTCTCTCTCTCTCTCTCTCTTTCTCTCTCTATCTCTCTCTACTCCTGATACGTACCAATTTTAGTTTTAATATATATGCATATACGGACAAAGTTATTTCGAATTTCGATTAATTGTCAAATGATTACAAAAAAAACACGTGTGCGTGTGCGTGTGTGCGTGTGCGTGAACTTTTGTTAGTAAAAGAAAATTGTCAGTTTATATTTTTCTAGAATTGGTATGAATCAGAGGTGGGGTTAGCTTATTTAATGCTTTTTAGCTTATTAACGATACTTTTCCAAAGTGTTTTTTAATTTAACTAAACTTTTTTTTTTCATTTTGAATTTATTTTGAATTCGAAAAAAAAAATTTCTTTTTCTATTTTGCATGTTGCGAATTTTGAATTTTCCAATTTTATCACACGTGTGATTTATATATGTATTTATTGATTCTTTAATAAAATATTAAATTGTCAGTTTATTTTAGAAGCTAATAAACCTGATAAATAGTCAAAAGATACCTAAAAATTTTTTAATTTTTTAGAGCCATTCACTCTCCATTGTCGATACCTATAAAAATAAAAATTAATTTAAATTTATATTAATTGATTTTTAGGCTTATTTTATATAGTTATCAATTACATTACAATAATTTATATGAATTTATATGAAAGTTGTGATTTCCTAGGGTTCATTAAAAAAAATTAATAGAAAATAATTATAAAATTTTATTAATCATTTTTTTTTTTTTTTGTTTTTAAGTAATTTATGTTCAGCAATTATTTGCATGTTTTAAATGTTTGCCTTGAGTAAACACTATTACATAAAAACTTGATAGTAGTAAACATTTTATTTATTTATAAGAAAAAAAAAGTTAAATTATCGGCTAAAGGTAAAATTTTTATGTGTGTACGCATATTGTATTAATTAAATTTCGATTATTTTTATAATCGAATAATTTTTTATTTGTTTTTTTTTTTTTTTTTTTTTTTTTTTTTTACTTTACGCCTTTAGTATTTTTTTTTTTTTTTTTAATAAAAATCAAAAACATTTTAAAAAAAAAAAAAAAATTTATAGAAACTCTAAATGTTTTATACGGTAATAAAAAAGTTAGTTTTTATTTATTTATTTATTTATAATTTTTAGAATTTTTGTTATTAATACGTGAGAGTTTAGGTTTAATAAGTATCCATTTTTATATTAATTAAATAATGGTAAGTGATTAATCAAATTTAAAAGTTATAAAAAAAAAATT